TAATTATTCCAACAGTTATAGGGAATGAATCATTGAATACAACACGTAATGTTTGTGCACCGGGGATACTATTAACAGCTGCCCAACCGATGGCTGACATAACATTAACTATCGACATTATCGAAGCACCATAATAACCCCAACTATAACGAGAAAAGATCATTGTACGTAGACCGGATGCTGGACCAAAACAAGCCATGCCTGCTATTGGCAATGTTCCCAATAGATTAAAAATGATGATGGTTACAAAAGAATTATTGAGATCTAACTTGAATACTGCTGGACCGAGTGTACCTGCAGCAAAACATGGTATAATTATATTTGCACTGACCTAATAAACAGATATTCAATAGTCTTGATAAGTATTTTTTACAGGAGAATAGATCGAGAATGACTGAACTGTCGTTACTCTTCAGTTTCTTACCCATATCATTGCTGTGTTGATAATTGTCAAATCAGTTCGATCTTCTGACGGTACTCGTTCAATACCACGTTCTTCTATATTGAGACAGGCAAAGATTTTTGCAGTCTTGTGGTACCAATTTGTAACAGAATTACATTTTTCACGTGAGGAAATTTTATTCGAGTCAATACATTGAGTTTCGCCGATATTCGTAGGAGTGTTATTAAGTTCAATATCTTGGTCAATGGAAGCTAAATGCCGCATGGACGACACTGTCACTATACGATGGTTTTGTGACATTGATAAATTCTATCTAAATTATAATCAGTTCGTAATTAAGACAACAGCAACCAGAACTTATTAATAAGTTTGCTGCTATACATTGTATAGATTATAAGAAAAATCGAAGGTAGGACATAATGAAGAGAATGAAGTTTTAAAAAGTATAGAAGGCAACACATTACCATTATATTTGATTTTATCAATTATCACACATCTAATTCTGATAGTTACGAATCATTGACCATGAAAAACAGCTAGTTGAATGGTGCACATTCATTTAAAAAAAAAATAAGGGAAATAATCAGATTAAAATCGATTAAAGGTGTATGATTATAATTGATTGTTAATCATTTTCTAATCGATTTTAATCTGATTATTTCCCTTATTTTTTTCACATGGGCAGAGAGTATACTGACAATATATGAAGAGGGTTTGACAGCTATTGCAACGGTGAGAATAGTGAAGATTTTAGTCGGAATATAGACATTGATATCACTCAGGCGTTTTATTAATGCAGAATTTTGCGTAAAATATTCATTGATCTCCCCGACCGAATAGTTGTCCAACTTTCTTGGTAACAGCGTCGAATAAATTATTGAATGCAATGTAGAAAAAAACTAACAGTCTAATGAGTAGAACTTTTATTCATCACGAGCATAAAATAACATTTTGTTTTGATTCATTTATGATTGCTATATGTGTATTCTTTTTCTCCAATTAAAAGAGGTGATTTTTTTTCAATTATGCCCATAACTGACGATCATTATCTTGATGTTGACAAAATGAGAAAAGAAAACAGAAAACGAAAAGAACTTTACAGAGAGAGTCCACAAGGTTAGAATGTCTTTTTTTAACATTTATTTAAAATGTGCCTTATATTGGTTCACATGTTAAAAACCCAAAGGAAAGAGAAAGAAGTGAAAGACCGGAACGAATAAGAACAAAAGACAAAGAAAAAAAAATGGACAGAAAACAGGATGTATATAACTACTTTTCAACAACAAATATAAAATAAGTAATAAGACAACGTACAACATTAGTTAGTCATATCACAAGATAAAAAGATAATTGATATATCAATTTTATAGCAATAGAAAATACGATAGTGCAGCATTTACAATAAACGTGTTGTTTGAACACGTAATGTACAGAGACATCTATTTTCAATATTTTTACATTCATTGATTTTAAGGCCTAATGAGAATATGTTCACTATTTGATATTAAGGTGGAAATAAAAAATATTTAGAAATAAACATGTTTAAGTAATGGGTTGATTTCTTAAATATTTCATGTTGCGGTAAGTGATGAAATGGGTGTGGGTGAGGCGTAGTTATGAAGGTTGATCCGCTTTTTCATCCACTCAGACCCACACCCCCAATTGTGGATGGAACATGGCGATGAAATTATAGTCGATTTCTTCGAGTTCGTGTACTGACTAATTTTACGTATAAACTCGACTAATTTTTTATCACAAAGAATATATAAGGATCATATTGAGGAATTTATTAAACTCTTTAGTACTCTTGATGTCGAAAAGAATGTTCTAAATCCAATTATAAGTAGTGTAAAAAAGCGATTAGGATTGCGAAGTGAAATAGATGCTGTATAGAAACGTTGGGTGGAGCTCATGATGCCCGATATCGAAAGTTGTTTGAACATGATTGAGAACAACATTGAACCTACTGATGTCGACATCGTTTATGAAGCAGTGAAATATGCAAAAGAAGAACTTAAAAAACGTGAACAACCATTCACACCTAGATTTGTAGCATTTATTGCTTTCAGTCCTTTTTGCCAGTATGATTCACTACATCTGCAACTGCAATGTTTGTACTTATTGAATGGATTCGTCACCAACATGATGAAATAGATCGTGCACCATCTACTGATTCACTCACAATGGAATATTTGAATTCGATGCAATTTATTGAAGCTTGCATTCATGAAGTTCTCCGACGTAGTACGAATTCTCGATTGGGCTTACGATATGCCGATCGAGAGTTTTCATTATCAGATGGAAAGTGTATCCCATCGGGAAATATTGTTGCAGCTGCTATAACTCATGCTAAGGATTTATATCTAAATCCGGAAAAAAATCGATCCTGCAAGACATTTATCACCGAGAGAAGAGAGCAATGGTAATCTGTATCGAGCAGCACCATTTGGACGGGGTAGACATGTTTGTCCTGGAGAAAAATATGCTAAAATGAAAATCAAAGTGATACTTAGTGAAGTATCAAAAATGTGCAAAATGGAACTAAGGAAAGAATCGATTAATTTTGAAGAAACAATCAACAAGAAACAGTTGGTAGGATGGGTGTGGGTGTGGGGGTGTGGGTGGGTGTGAGTGTGGGTGTGAGTGTGGGTGTGGTGTGGGTGTGAATGTCAGTATAGGTATCTGTATGGATACTCAACTCTCTAATGACACCCACACCCACACCCACACCCACCCACACCCACACCCCCCCACCCCCACCCCCCCACCCCCACCCCCCCCCCCCCCCACCCACACCCATTTTTCGACAAAACCTTCTTTCAAATTGTGTTCAACATTTGATTCAGCCATATTTCTTCGTACGGATAACTCGAAAAAACTGGCAATGCAATTTTTTCTTTGAAATGACACTCAATGACACTTTGTTTTCTAACGAATAGTTTTTTTTTTGGTGTAAAATGAATTTATTCGTTTTCCACCATACGAAGAAAAAAGTCATTTGCATTAAAACAAATATTATATAGAAAGAAAAAAGAATATTAAAATCCAAGGTTTGTTGACTATTGCCTTCGAGAACATTCATGAATTTCAATCAAATCTGTTGAAGCATATTCGATTGTTCACGTGTTCGAATATAAATTTCTTCATTGAAAAAAAAATCTTTCTAACGTTGTATTCACACAGATGAAAATAAAATCTTCAGGGTAATGATAGAGTGATTCTAGCGCGCCGTAATCATGATTTTGACCTTGTTTAAGATAACGATAATCCTTCTGTTTGTGCAATTTTTTACTTTTATTCCCTTTTCTGAAAGAAAGGGTTATACGCTCGATAAATACCTTAAAAGTTTGTTTGTTTGTCCAAACCAATCAGCATTCAGTATGCGCTAAGCCAATAACAACTCAGTACTAGTAGTATCTAGCTAAGATTCTGTTTTGTTCGACACAATACATATAATAGGTGGTCGAGGAATAATTGCGTTGTTAATTATTTCAAAATTTCTCCATCATTTCTCACTTGATTCAAACATGTTCCTTTATCAAAAGATTGTTCTTGAATTTCTCTATCAAATAATGTGTTTCGTAATCTTAGAAATGTTTCAAACATTTAAAAACAAGAGGGTGTGGGTGGATGTGGGTGTTGATGATGTGAAGATTAACACCCACATTCCGAACTGTTGTCTTGATAAATTAATCGAATGTTTTTTCTTCTTAGACAAACATAACGTACTTATGCACTGGAAATACTTCACTGAAGAACTGTCAAAAACTTCGAACATCATTTTTCATTGAACTTGCCTTCACAATGTGTAACTCTTCGAACATGATATTTGACAGTTCATTTTTCTGAGATTTGAAATTCAACTTTGGCTATCATTGCTTAACGCATTGAAAGGCAATATGTAAAATATTGTTTTTGTCTACTATTTGTAATTCAATATTCAATTTTAACAGAAAAAGTCATATATGAGTGCCTAAATTTCTACGTTGATAGAAGTAGGAATAAAGAACTCATGTTGAAATACACAACTGACAATGATAACGAGATATTATACCTTCATGCAATCTATACATATGACAAACAAATACTGTATATTATATTTTCTTGTGATCAATGTCTATTGTGTTGATTCATCATGAAAAATAAAAAATAACAGAAAAACTACATTAACAAAAATTTAATTGATTTGAAAGAAATAAGATCAGATAATAAAGTAGTGATCTTCAGTGTTCATACATGTCACTATTTCACATACATATTGATTTATCGTATAGCAAGTTTATTTGGGATATACACATAATTCACAGTTATTGCGTGTGTATTGATAACAGTAGCGTATCATCTTGAGGTTGTTTAGCATTTCTCCATAAGTGATGTCGTTTCTTCCATGCAAATAATAATAATGATACTTAGGGGTACCCAAAAGTAGTGGCGGAGATATCTTATTTTCGTATAGAACGCTTGAGAAAATTTTCTTTTTTTATGAGATGATAGAGAAAACGAAGCTCTATTTTTC